AGTGATGAGTCTTGCTCAATTCCTCCGGGAGGACAATAAAAATAAAGCTGGTTAAGAGGAAATATAGTGATCCGTGTGTGCTGAAAAATTATGATGAAGTTTTGAAATCACTAAGCACTTTAAATGTTGGTACTGCTATACGAATGCTAGGTAATATGTGCCATGTGTTCGAAGATTGATGTTCTGTTTTTTTCTTTTTTCATTTTATATATGCAAGATTCCTATCTGAAGTGACTTTATGAAGACAGTTAATCACATAAAATCATATTTTTTTTTTGTGTTAAAGATTAAACTATGTTCGTTAAGCCAAAAGGTGTGTGTAAGAAATTTCTCCATTGTCCTTTTACTCTTTTGATGAGAGTGTCCCACTACAACATTATGCATATACAGCTACGAAGTATGTTGTAGCTAAACATGAAAATTTTCATGGCTAAACACTTTAGCTACAATAATTTTTTCCGTAGCATCCGTAGCTAGATGTAGCGTAACTAAAAGTTAGCTACAAACTTTAACATTTCATGGCTAAGGATTAATACTTATTGCTACAAGAATTTTTGTGATGTGGCTATATTAATAAAACTTTTTGCCACAAAGAATATATATTTATAGCTAATAATTTTATCTTTTGCCGCGATAAATTAACTTTGTAGCTATCTTCCATACTTTAGATACAAAGGGATATACTATGGCAAAAGGTGTTATTTATTTAGCTACAAAATGGCAAAAGGTGTTATTTATTAAGCTACAAAATTCAAGCACGTAGCTATGCTCTCATATTAGATTTATATTATAGCATTTATATTTATCTACCAACCAATAATTTTATGGCTATAAATCGTCAAATATCCACGATTAAATATTTTATTATATTTTGTTTGGTGAATAGATTTTTATACATTTTATTTTTATTGATCAAAAATTAATTTATTAAAATTTTCAAATATTCAATATCCATACTTTTTTATTTATCAAACCATAGAAAATACACAGTAATAAACTTTAAATATCACTTATTTATACAAATTGAAATCTAAATAGTTTAATAAATTAATTCTAAAATATACAATTGTCTATATACAGTACATAGTATCCATACTTCCACAAGTATGTAACTCTTGTACAAGAGACATAACAACTAGTTAATATGCAGCT